TCAATTTAATCAATTTTCAATCCACATACCTAATATATATATATATATATATATATATATATATATATATATATATATATATATATATATATATATATATATATATATATATATATATATATATATATATATATATATATATATATATATATACATATATATATATATATATATATATATATATATATATATATATATATATATATATATATGTATATATATATATATATATATATATATAAATAGGGAAGAGTTACCTTAATTGGAACAGTTAAGGAATAGTTATTTATTAACCTAAGATGGCTTTTTACTAACTAATGGAAAGTTTTATTGTGTTGAATTTGTGTATGAAAATGGATGATGTTTTACAAAATAATGATTTATCAAGCTTTTTTACCAATCCATGTGATTTAAAGAGTTTGAATATTTTTTATATTAAAAAAATTTTATTAAATTTTTAAAGATTTTTCTTGTAAAGTTGTATAAAAAAGAATTTGTGCTTGCTCCTTTAGTAGGTTGGTAGAAGGATCAACATAAAAATTTAGCAATTTTTAACAATTGTATAATGTATCATAACGTACAGTTTAAAGTTGTATTTTTCTGTTAGCTATTTTACATGAACAAATTGTTAATATATGAGTATTTTTTCTATTATATTTTCTACTATTCTTTTCCAGTTGAAAAAGTATAGTTGGGCAAGCAAAATGTTCATTCGAGCTGGTTGGATAGAAAATACAGAGAAATAAAGTGAGAAAAATCGATCGATAATTTTTATGTGCTGGCTATCATCATTAAATGTAATAAATTGTTTCAATGAAATGCATAAACCGCATCTAACTAATACAGATTTACGCTGCTCAAAATTAAATGTCATGGAGATAATGTAATTTTTTTTTATATAAACATTAGGTCATTACTTTTTTTCCTTGTTTTTTTGACATGCTTTCATTCTGTTTATGTTGTTTTCAGTGTTTAGATATATTCTTTATTATATATTCTTTATTATATAATGTATTTAAAATCATGAGTTTTGTGATAAATTTAGATTTGCCACTACTAGTGATACTCAGATAGAATCAGATTCAGAAAACAGTAACTATTTTAAAAGATACTTAATTCAAGTATTATTAGTTTTATTTTGATAATAATTTTTATAGGAGCCACTACCATGCTTATGCAAGAGAAAACATAATAACCAACAGAATAGTAAGCAAGTACCTACTCCTGGTATTAATTGTCTGTCTGTAAGTTGATTTAGGAAGAAAAGATTCTGAACATTTTTTTCTATGCTTCAGTGATTTACACATTTTATTGGTTGCTAAATTAATACATTTTATTTAGTTTATGAATAATGTTTTATTTTATAAATGTTTTGTTTTTGTGTTTCAACCCTTTTAGAAATTAATTAATGTTTGGTTCTTTTGTCTTTCTGATATATCTTTATTGTTAGAAAGAGATGTTAGTAAAAACTCTTTCTAGTAATTAGTAACTGTTTTCTCTTACTTTTGTATTTCCTTGAGCTAAAGAACAACCTTAAAGTACAAAGGTTGATTTGTAACGCATACTTAACCTTTTTTTTTACTCTATATATACATACATATATATGTATATAAATAAACATACATATATATGTATTTATATATACATACATATGCTTTTATGAATATATTATATATATATATATATATATATATATATATATATATATATATATATATATATATATATTTATATATATATATATATATATATATATATATTTATATATATATATATAAATCCTTATAGTGTAGTCGAAAGAGTCTTTTAATGTAAAAAAAGTCACTTTCGACTACAATTTTAATTTCCTTGTCTCTTAAGCTGTATTTGATTGTCGTCGAAATGTCAAAGCAATTAAATTAATGGGGAAGTACATTAAATTTTATTGTTTTTTAAAAAAATTTTAAAAAACCGCAATAACAACGACTAGAAAGTTTTTTTAATTAGTGGTGTTTTTGTTTTTGTTATATTAAAAAACATTTGTAAAACATGCGTAAATGTTGCTACATCAACTATCTTATAGCCTGCTGCTACAAGGGAGTATTTCTACATTGACTATCTTATAGCAACAGAGTGCTGCTACATCGACTGACAAATAGCCTTACTCGCAAGGGAGTGCTGCTACATCGACTGACAAATAGCCTGACTCGCAACGGAGTGCTGCTACATCGACTGACAAATAGCCTGACTTGCAAGGGAGTGCTGCTACATCGACTGACAATTAGCCTGACTCGCAATGGAGTGCTGCTACAACAACTGACAAATAGCCTGACTCGCAACGGAGTGCTGCTACATCGACTGAAAAATAGCCTGACTTGCAAGGGAGTGCTGCTACATCGACTGACAAATAGCCTGACTCGCAAGGGAGTGCTGCTACATCGACTGAGGGTTTGGATTGGGCAGGCAGTATATCATTTAAAAAAAAAAATAATTTAAGTTTGTAAACTTTTTCTGGTCTGGTTTTTCTTGTAAACTTTTTCTGGTCATTATTGTAGATATATATATATATATATATATATATATATATATATATATATATATATATATATATATATATATATATATATATATATATATATATATATATATATATATATATATATAATATATATATATATATATATATATATATATATATATATATATATATATATATATATATATATATAATATATATATATATATATATATATATATATATATATATATATATATATATATATATATATATATATATATATATATATATATATATATATATATATATATATATATATATATATATACAATAATGGTTCAATTTAAAGATTTTCTTTTATTTATAAAGTTGTACTTGATAAAAATAAATAAATAAAGTTGAACATTTTGAATATTCACTGGTTATTATGATAAATTATATAAAATATACATAAAGTATAAATATTTTGCAACAACACTTTTATTTGCAATAACTACTTCATTGCATTGTGGCATGCTTACAATTTATTTTTTATAGTTTCTGTCAACATTGGATTATTATGCCAGATCTTGATAATCTCTTCCATAAGATCTTGCTTATTTGTAGGATTTTTTTTTCCAATCTCTTGCTTTACTATTTCCTAAATGTTTTCTATGGGGTTAAGATCATGCGGTTTGTCTGGCTATAGCAATACATCAACTAAGCCATAAAAGTTTTTATTGTTTGGCAAGTTGAACCATCTTCCCAGTGGGCACAGGACGTAAAAAAGACGTCCTTAGGACGTTCAAATCGCGTCTCTCCGTCCCATTAAAATTCTAAACGTCTTTTGAACGTCTTATTCGCGTCCAATAATTTTTTCGTCCAAAAAATATCCAGAATGCTTTATTAAATAAAAAAAAATCAGTTAAATCACGCAAGCGCTAAAACTTCATAAAATTTTTAAGTAACGCATTTTTAATAAAGTTTTTCTTCAATTACAAAAGAAGTCTTTTTACGACAACTAATAGTTCATCTAACACGTTCCATCTAATTTTTGTTTTTGTTATCAATTTAAAATTGTGGTAATATTGATACAGTTAATGAAATTTTTACAAATAATGAAAGAAACGGTTTAAAACTGAATATATGCTATACTATGTATATATATACTTGATATACTATTAGTATAGTATTGCTATATCAAGAACCAAGTTCTAA